CTAGAAAGAAGTGGTCTAAATGGAATCTAATATTATATATAATGAACATATATTGTTAAATATTGAAAAGGTTTTATATTAATTATTGAAGCATTATTAATCTTAATTAATCCATAATGCTCAAGGGAAAAGAATTTTCTCTTCGTTTTAACTACTCAGAGGTTCGTAAGAATGATGCTACTATATTAACAGCAGGTATAAATTTTATAATTGTTTTTCCCTTTAGGGCCCAACTGTCAGCATGACAAACCTCTAAGGAAAACAGTCACCTGGCTCACAGTCACCTCCTTAGGTCCAAGACTGAATGAAATTGTCTTTTAACAACGGAACACTAGGAGTCATAGTATTGCCTTTCTTGCTTTGCTTGACTGAGTCCTATGCTTTCATCCTCCAGGAACTCCATGAACTTTTACACCAAGTCTACTCCACCATTTTTCCAGGATCCGAAAGACATTGGACTTAGTATTTGATGACCAAGTTATCTAAAATTGTGTAGGTTCATATGCCTATACTACAAAAACTAAAATTGAAATCATATATGACCAGTGGCACTTTCCTTCCCAGTAACATTCAGGTAAGTCACAAAGTTCTACATTGCCTTGCTATTATAGTTGAAATTTAACTTTGGAAGCTGGTTACACATTCTTACTGTCTGTGCTGATGAAGCTATTGCTTACACTTGTTGGAGGGTGTTGACTCAGCAGGTACTGTCTACTTCTTGGCAGGGGAACATAAAGTGCTGTGCATAGAGACCAATTCTCTCACTGACTCTGTATCTTCCTAATCCCAAACTCTTAACCCATTTACATAAATATTTATTATAGGTGGTGAAGTTTACAGCACAGACTCGGATGCATTGAAATAGCACAGTGCTTAGTTAAGTCAGAAATTCCTTTAACAAAACAGACACTGACTTTAATCTACTTATCCTAAATCTCTGCAAAATAAATAAGTCAATCCATAAGTTAACTTGTATACTCCTAGCTCGTAGTACACTTTATAAACTACTATATTCAAAGTTAAAAATAGCACCCTTTCCAAACTTCCAGTGAAGAATTCAATTTTCAAAGACAGACTTAAATTAAAGCAAGGCACTCCTAGTGTTGTTTATGACTCCTTTATTACACATAATGTTTCTGTCCTGTTCTCTCTTGATTGTATTCTTGTATGAGAAGCCTAACCCAGAACATTAATCATGTCATAGATGTTTTAACCAAAACTATTAACACATTTTGAGGCTTGAACATCATATTTACTTTTTCAAACATCCATATTTTCAAGAGTAACAATGACCAGTATTCCTATTGTATAAGGAAAATGAAAAGGAACTTAATCTAATGCCATGGCAGGCAAAGGAAAGAAATTATATCATGTCTGTTAATGGTACAGTCAACAAGGGAATATGTTTTTACTAGTTTTCTGCAGTATTAAATTGGAGACATGGTACTAATTCAATCTTATCCTTATTTGAAATACTATTTAAATTATCTAAGACAATAAAAATGCAAAGAATATAAAGGCAATGAAGCAAAGATAAATAATTAAAAGCAGTTTCATGTGTCTCTGGATTATATTTGAGCAGTGTAAAATAGTCAGGAGGTGTGTGAAGTCAATGCAGACAGAGCCTGATGGAGGAGAGCAAGGTCTCCACTACACCACAGACACTGTCTAGATCCTTCCAGCTTATTACAATAGATGCTCAGGTGGACTGCTGCTGTGGACATAGGGGAGAAGAGAGTAATTCAAGAAGATTAAAGAAGCAAAACTGAACAGAAAAAGAATAGAGAGGAGGCTCTCAGTACCCTTGTTTTCCAGAATTCCTGGTAATAGCAGTAATTTGCAGTGCCAGACACTTACTGATAGCTCACCATCTGACTGCCAATTCTATACCATCTCCACTCAGCCTCATGGTTTTAATGGCTCCAGAAATACTATCCCAGCCAGGCATCTTCACTGAATTCCAAACTTATATACAAGTCTTCTACTGAACAAATACATTCACTCATTTAATTGGCATCAAACTGAATGAGTGGGAAGCAGAAAAATACCAACTCTGCTCCTCCAACACAGTCCACACCAGATCTATCTCCTTGACTTCATCCTCATTCTCTCCTTCTCCTTCTCCTCCTTCTCCTTTTAAGAATCTCTACAATATCAATCTACTCAAGCCTTGTCTCTCAACATGAGAACACCTCCATGTGACTCTGTGGGTGTACTTTCCTATGGATCCTTAATCAGTATTCTTGACAGAATAGCCACAGCCTGAATGATCCATGTGAAAATATAGCAAAATGTTAAATGCTCTGCCTCTAGAAACTCGCCCATAGTGTATTATCATCATTAGAATAAGATTTATAGTTTTTTGTCAAGGTCAGCTTCTGGCATCCAGCCCCAATCTACCATTCTACCATTTTCTCTCTCTGTGCCAGCTCCAACGATCCCATGAACTTCCTCAAGGGTGCTATGAATGCCTTCTCTTCAAATTTTTAATTTTTATAGACAAGGGCCGCTGTTGCATCCTCTGGTCTGGATTCCCTATATGGACCAGGCTAGCCACAGTCTCACAGAAATCCAACTGACTCTACCAACCTAACTACTGGGATGAAAGGTGTGCCCCCCCATGCCTGGCAAACTTTTGAATTTTATGTGCTATCTGAAATAATCCTTCATTAGCATATTTCCATGGCTGCCTCTATCATTTCATTTGGGGCTCTATTCAAACATAACCTCTTTGGAGTCCTCTTCTAACTGCCCTCTGTAGCTGTGCCCTTCATATTGCTTTATTTTTATAATATTTTCACTTTTTGACTCTCATTCTCTATCTTTCTTAGTTTATTGATTTACTCAATTAGAATGTAGAATTTTTGAGAGCAGGGATTTGTCTCAATACTGTAACTTCAGGGCTTAGAAGACTCTCAGTAAGGGTTGGGGTGAACAAATGAATGAACCATTGCAAAAGCCACAGTGATAGGAATTATTCTTCTTCGTAGGTGAAGATTGAAGTTTTATATATATGAGATATTACATATATAAATAGATAGAGGATAGATAGATAGATAGATGATAGATTATAGATAGATAGATAGATAGATAGATAGATAGATAGATAGATGATAGATATATGATAGATAGATGGATGATAGATAGATGATAGATATAGATAGATGATAGATAGATAGATAGATAGATAGATAGATGATATATAGATAGATGATAGAGAGAGAGAGAGAATAACATAATCAGAGTCACATTGAGGGGAGGTGTCTTTTTTCTGAAAGTGAAGCTAGTTCCATCTGACTTTAAATCTTGAGCCCATTACCAACAACATGATCAAAACACAAAAGTAGCACAAAAATATCAAAGAATTAAAGGCAGCCTTGAGGGAGGGAGGAATTAAAGCGAAAGAAGCTGCATGAAAATCACAAACTGCTTGGGGACCAAGCCATTTTCAGTCACTTGAGGAAAGGTGAACTATGTCTAGTAATAGAAACAGATATGAGCACAGGAGTTAGAAAAGAGGGAAACCTGTAAGCCTGCTTCGACTGTATTTTAGAAATGTTAGAGAATAAGATTACTCACATGATTGTCTAGTATGGCCTCCCATGGACGTACATTACTACAATGTTTCACAGACCTAGAGTTGGTCCTGGTAACTCAGTCATGTATTATTTAAGCCTTTGTAACTGGAGGCCTATTTTCATCTTGTTTCACAGATTCATATCAAAGAGAAAATGTGTTCATTTCATAGTGGGTTAAAGGCAGAGTCTGTCTGTTCAGCCATCATTGTTTCATAACAAGTTCATGTTGAAGGACACGAGGGGAATTTTTGCACAGGATAAATTTGGTATGTAAATTTGCACAGGCGTTTCCTCCACTTCTTTTCTTTTTTCAAATTTAAGGTTATTTAAGGGAAAACAAAATCTTACAGGAAGGTGAGGCCAAAATGTTTTCAATGTTAAGCAATGTATCCAATAGACAAGCTTGATGTGGGTAGAGTTAATAATAGGAAAAATAATTTTAGAGGAAACATTTGAAAAGAATAATGATAATGCGATACCTAAAGCTAGGCAGAAGTTATCATTCATCTGTGTTTAGATTTGAAAAAAAAGTTGTTTTAGGGAGAATACTGGTCTAAATAAACCAGTATAAGAAATAAGTCCTGGGTCTAACACAGTAAGAGAATATAAAAATTTATATAAATGCATGCAAACTATGGGAAACAATGCATGAATTAAAGCAAGTACTAACATTCTCTTGTTTCTCAGCTGTGAAATAAATATTTTTCCCTCGTATGCTGTTTCTCAGGCTCAACGACATCATTAATACCATGCCCTCAGCACGATGCCTGCCACAGGAGAGATTTCATAACTATGAACATCCTCCTCTCCACGCTTTACTTCAGCACAGGACAGCAACTCCCTGCTCAAGGTGCTTTCTTTCCACCTTCCCCAAAAGGGCTTCATTCTTCTCAAATCTCTATGATTCATTAGTGATAGCAAGAAAAAGGAAATGAGACCAGAAATTCAGAGCAGAGGTCAAAAGCTTAGAGGAAAGCAAAGCCCGTTGGATTAGTCAGGTGCTGAATGAGCCAAGACATCAGTGAAGAGCACAGTTCTTCTGTTGCAGATAGAAGCACCTACATGGAACAGCAGGTCTGCACAGGTGCCCTCCCGAGGTGATTGAATAACAGAGAATTATCCTTTCTTCACAGGAAAAGTCAGAGTTTCATTTGTGGAGACAAAATATGTTTCATATTCAAATGACATATAAGAATAATGAAAACTGAAGCCCAATGAGTTTCTTTTCTAAATGTGCATTAAAAAAGATGCTAAACTATGTCAGCTTGATAATAAAGAAGTATAATTAGTCTGTTGGGTTTAGATTCTGAAAATGTGGTTCTGCTGAAAATTATGCAGTTTGTCAGATCTCAGACTGCTAGGTCGTACTGGATGGTAATGCTTGTCTCTTTCCATTGTAACCTTGTTACAAGTGGAAGAAAAATGAACATAGGAAATCGTTCTTCAGCAACTGTATTTGTCCTTGAGGGGCTAACAGATCAACCAGCACTTCAGGTCCCACTCCTCCTCCTGTTTCTGTTGATCTATGTTGTCTCCATGGCAGGAAACATGGGTTTGGTCTTCTTAATCAGGATCAGCTCTCAGCTTCACACCCCCATGTATTATTTTCTCAGTAACTTGTCCTTCATAGATCTCTGCTATTCCTCTGTCATAATCCCCAAGATGTTGGTGAACTTTGTGTCAGAGAAAAATCTCACGCCGTTCCATGCATGCATGGCCCAGCTCTTTTTATTCTGTTTTTTTGGAATTGATGACTCCTACATGTTGACAGTCATGGCTTATGATCGCTATGTTGCCATCTGCAACCCCTTACTCTACAATGTAACTATGTCCCACAGAGTCTGTGTGCTACTGGCCACTGGTGTGTATACTATGGGCACCTTTGGGGCCATGGTTCATACCAGCTACATATCCAGTCGCTCTTTCTGTGGAAGTAATGTCATTCACCACTACTTCTGTGACATTCTCCCACTCCTGAATATATCTTGCTCAAGAGACAATACCAAGGAGCTTTTGGTGATGCTGTTGGTTGGATTCAATGTATTTGCATGTGCTTTTGCTATCTTCACCTCTTATGCCTTCATTCTTGCCAGTATCCTGAGAATACGCTCAGCCGATGGTAGGTCCAAAGCCTTCAGTACCTGCAGCTCCCATCTTGCAGCTGTTGGGGTCTTCTATGGCTCCATCATCTTTATGTATTTTAAACCATCTACAGGTGACACAACCCAGGAGAAAGTGGCTTCTGTGTTTTATACCACAGTGATCCCCATGCTTAACCCCCTTATCTATAGCCTTAGGAACAAGGATGTCAAAGAAGCCCTAAAAAAATTACTCTCTGGACCTATGGGAAAGTAATACATTTCAAAGCTAGCAACTTTTAACATATATTTTACCTGTTAGTTGTGCTTATTTGTAAGAAGAAGTAGCTTTAGTTTGAAGGGTCATGCTAAAATAAAGTGTCTTAGAGTTCATTTTGGCTGAGCTTCATTTTCCTGGTTTAGTGTTATTACTCCCAACACAATGCTTTTCACTCTGTCTAGCCTACTTCCTTACCCACTGATTATATACACACATATATACATATATATGTGTGTATATATATATAGTTTGTGTATGTACGTATATATCCTACAAAATACCACATGAGACAAATCAAAACCAAAATAAAATATAGAGGACTTTTGTAAAAGAACTAGCTGTGTGTTTTTGCATTTTAGATTATGATTATTTGCTTAAATGTGGGAGGAAAGAGCATGCCATGTGTAAGTACGGAGGTCAGACAGCATGAGAGAATTGCTTCTCTCCTTCTACCACATAGTGTATATATCCTACAAAATACCACATGAGACAAATCAAAACCAAAATAAAATATAGAGGACTTTTGTAAAAGAACTAGCTGTGTGTTTTTGCATTTTAGATTATGATTATTTGCTTAAATGTGGGAGGAAAGAGCATGCCATGTGTAAGTACGGAGGTCAGACAGCATGAGAGAATTGCTTCTCTCCTTCTACCACATAGGTCATAGGAATCAAACTCAGATTATCAGACTTAGAAGCAAACGCCCTGACCCACTGACCATCTCACCACCACCTAGCCATACTTTTCAGCATTAAACATAAAAAGAAATGAAGATCTAGGAACAAGAGTATGAGAGTGACACAGAAAATGGACAAAATTCAAAAGCTTTGAGAGGAGACTGAATTCTGGCTATATCTTGAAGGGTAAGACAGCATTATTGATGGATTTTATGTGGATTATAAGAAAATAATCATAATGGGAAATCACTCCACTGCTTTTTGCCCTAACAGCTGGAATGTTGGGGTGGCAAGTTCCAAAAGACGGAAATTTATGGGAAGAACCTATTTGGGGAGGATGCATTCAATTAACAGTGGTATTCATATCTTCTTCTTGAAAAGTGCTTCATTAAGGAATAGCATGTGCAGCACTTTTTATTTGCATACCAAAACACTCACTTCTCAAGAAAGCATCACAGAAAGATCATGAATATCAACAAAACTAGATAATATTAAGAAAAGTAGTGAGTATAAGTGTACCATGGCTGTGGACAGGCACAAAAACTCAAACCCACACATTTCTGAATAAAGTGTATTACATAAATAGCTCTCATTTTTCACATAAATCCTTCACTTTTCACATACAGACCTTCATTTGCATTCATAGAATGCAACCAATACCAAGCTAAAAACCAAAGAGAGGAGCCAGTATTGAAAATAGCAGGAAGAAATGGGTTGAAATACTGACATGTCCCTCTAAAGTGTTGGTTCTTTTCTCTGAACATAACAGAAGAAAGTCATTATACTTGGTTTTAGGAAATGAAGACCAATTATTTTCTAAAATATTTCTATCAGCTTTGGCATTTTCTATGTGGTTTCTTGTAGCAGTTTCTCTTTTGGGGCATTTTAACATCTTTAATGACTGTTCGGCTTTATCTCTTTGGTAAATCCCAAGTCGCTTCTAAGGGAGACCGTTCTGTGTAATCTTGGGGATTTCCAACCATATATTTTCTACATAACTTAATCTGTGGGCCACACATTTCAGGATACCTTGACTCAGAATGTACCAGGTACTTAGTGAAAATGACACCTGTCCAGAATTTAGAATTTCACTTTTGAATGAAGATTTACATGAATTAAGAGTTAGTTTCCTTCTTTGGGGACTTATACATATTCAACATTAATTTTTATCCCTTTTCAATTACCTTCATTCTATTGTTCACTAAAATTATGAATATGTTTGCAAGCAATAATATATTTTTAGAAGCATTGGAGAATAATCTATTTTATATTTAGAACTAAAATATTAAATAATCTATTACGTGTGTGCATGTATGTATTTCATTCTGACTCTTGGAAAGTAATTGGAATGTTCTCATCAATGATGGTTACCTTCCCTTGAATGTCTTCTCCACTTGATTTCATTAGATCCTAACTACACTTGGCCTTCATGAGTTGCTGATAATTTAATATTTTTCTTATTTCTAAAACAAAATATTGAGTGGTGGCACCCAGTTGAGAGAAGAAAATCCTGCCTGTACACTGGGCTACAGTATTTTCTCTTTATAAATTCTCATGGGCTGAATTTCTTCATAATTTTAGTTCATGTGGAAAATTCAAAGTAATGAATAAAAACCCTCCCTTCATGGAAGCCTATACACCTCTTCCATAACACTCATTTCAAGTGTCATTTAACAGTAATTCTAGTAAGAGTTGGGTAATGTCTGTGTGCTCATCTAGAAGGTAAGCTCACTGACAACCATGGTCATGTCTGTTTTGCATAATATCTTGCTCCCAATTCACAGAGTAATAAATGATACACAGCTGCACAAACACAACTAGATGACTAAGCATGTGAATTTCTATGCATAAATATTTTAAGTAAAAATAAAATCAAAAGAAAAGATGTGTGTATCCAAATTTTGTATAACATATATATAGTATGTGTATATATATATTTCATTCTTCTGAAAATAAATCTGTTGGACTCTGTTTCTTTATATTTTTATAGGTATTCAAAGATCTTTCTCTAGCTACACACTAGCTGACACTACACTTGGGTCATAGGACACGAAGAATCCAATCTAATACCAATTTGGAAGTTTCTTACCTCCTGGCTAGTTTTCATAGTGCCAAAGGGACTACACAGGTTGATAGAAGAGAAAAGTCAAAAGTCTTCCTCAGCTGTGAACCCTGTGAGCTAATAGTGGCATGAATGTCATGGTGGTACAATCACTTTCTGATTAGATGTAAAGCTGACTCCATAGGGGGGAGCTCATGCCAGGTACTGTGAATCTAGCCAAGAATCTATGACTGAGGAGCTCATAGGACCTAGGTAAGAACTGACCACTATTATACTCTAAATTTATCTCCATGTTAGTGGATTAGTGGACCATTTCTAAATATTCATGAAATTTCTTCCATTATTTGGATGTAGTTCAAATTGCTGATTCAGTTAATTTTATTGCTTCCAAATATCTGCGATTGCATTGTTCACATGGATTGACAATCTGAGGGAACTGAGATACACCTAGATTAGTAAATACATCTCAGAGTATCTAGTGAGACTGTTTCCAAAGAAGATTATATAGGCAACACACATCCTGAATACCACCATCCCACAGACAGGGAGCCCCAAGGGAAAAGAAACAAACCAGGTAACACAGCCATTCTCTCTTAGCTTCCTGTCTGCAATGAGCTAAGCATTTTTGTTTTGTGACAACCTCCCTACCACGATGAACTGAAAGGTCAGAAACTTAAGCAAAATAAATCTTCCCATGAGTAATTTATATCAGCTATTTTTTCATACAAAATAAATGTAACTAATTCAGACAAGGGAGCTTTTTACTGTGAAATCTTTAGCTTGTTATATAGAAAACTTCTTAGGAATTGGGAGGAATTTCAAAAGGTGGTACATACAGGCTAGAGATTCCACAGAAAGCTCTAAATAGGACTTAATGAACTATTGGGAGTTCAGAAAACGAGAATGCGGATAGAAATTTAGGTAGTAAATATTGTAGTTGTGAAGTTTAAGATTGGAACAAGCATTCTATTGGAAATTGTATTAGAAATCATACACATTACAATCTGGTAAGGTACTTTTTACACTTTGTAGAAGGTTGGGCTTAAAGATGATACACTAAATTAAACTGGCAGAAGAAATTTCAAGACAGCAAAGCATTAGACTATGGCATAGATATTGCTAGTTGGCTTAGTAAAGTTTACAGTGAGAATCAAAGCAGAAAATCTTGTAATCGTCATTGTTCGGTCAGTAATTCTATGTCAATGTCAAGTTGAGGCTAAAGAAGCGTAACTTCTGAAGAGATTAGGAACATATAAAAGATGTTCAGTGCACGCCTTTAATCCCAGCACTCGGGACGCAGAGGCAGGCAGATCTCTGTGAGTTCAAGGCCAGCCTGGTCTACATAGTGAGTTCCAGGACAGCTGGGGCTACAGGGAAACCCTGTCTCAAAAAGACCAAAAAAAAAAAAAAAAAAAAAAGGAAAATATGTCAAGTACTTTTCATAAGAACAATATGAAAAGCTTTCTTGAGTAAATCTCAGGAAACAGCCAGAGTCCACCCATCCTAGGTTCAAAACTGTACAAGATATAGGTGTAGGAAAGGATTTTCTAAACCGGACATCAAACGCTCAGGAAACAAGGGCAAGAATTAAGAAACGGGACCTCATTAAACTAAAAAGGTCAGACTGGCTAAGATCAATACAACAAATGGAGAGGATGTGGGAAAAGGGGAACACTCATCCACTGCTGGTGGGGCTGCTTTCTGTACATCAAAAAGGCTACCAGGGAAGCGATCAGAAAACCCACAGAATGGGAGAAAATCTTTACCAGC